ACTACCAATCTGGGAGGTACTACCATTGAGAGGTATACATCGGTGAGGTACTACCATCTGAGAGGGTTATACCATCTGAGAGGTATACATCCTGGATGTACTACCATCTGAGAGGTACTACCATCCTGAGAGGTACTACCATCGAGAGGTACTACATCCTGAGAGGTACTACCATCATGAGAAGGTACTACTTATCTGAGAGGTACTTACCATCCTGAGATGTATACATCCTGAGAGGTACTCCATCCTGGGAGGTACTACCATCCTGAGAGGTATACATCTGAGAGTTATACCATCCTGAGAGGTACTACCATACTGGGAGGTACTACATTGGAGAGGTACTTCCATTGAGAGGTACTATCATCTGAGGAGGTACTACATCCTGAGAGGTACTACATCCTGAGAGGTACTACCATCCTGGGAAGGTAGTACCATCCTGAGAGGTACTACTCCTGAGAGGTTACTACCATCCTGAGAGGTACTAACATCATGAGAGTACTACATCTGGGAGGTACTACCATCCTGAGAGGTACTACCATCCTGAGAGGTACTACCATCCTGAGAGGTACTACCATCCTGAGAGGTACTACCATCCTGAGAGGTACTACCATCCTGAGAGGTACTACATCCTGAGAGGTACTACATCTGAGAGGTACTACATCTGAGAGGTACTACCATCCTGAGATGTCTACATCTGGGCGGTAGTACATCTGAGGGTATACCTTCTGAGAGGTACTACCATCCTGAGAGGTACTACCATCCTGAGAGGTACTACCATCCTGTCATAAGACTGAAAATAGAGGTAGTTTATATAAGTACTTACTACGTACTACGGTTATTTTTTAAGTGTGTAAAACGGTGATTTTCTCTCACGAAATCGCAATAACACAATTGTGAACAAATCAAAGAAGGGAAGGTGTTCGAACTCGCGGTTAGTGATGTTCCAAACTGACTCTGTGTTCCCTGAAGTGATCTTATTTACCGTGAAAATAACTCTGTGGAACATTGCCATGCATCCCGGTCCCAGGTCGTCCTCCAGGTTCATAGCCTGATCAACCAGACTGTGTGTTTTGCTGCGCCCAGTCCCGAGGTGGCAGCTTATTCTCACTACAAGTTTATTAGAGGAATTTGTGAAAATAAATATCCGATATAATTATCGTCAATTATTACGTTTTCGTGAATAATTAAGTTCTCGTGAATAATAATGTAATCAGTTGCAATTATTTTTTCGAGTATGTTACTATCGTATATAATTATGTTTAACCCGTGAATAATTATGTTTCACCCGTACATAATTATGTTTCACCCGTGTATAATAATGTTTCACCGTGGTATAATTATGTTTACCAGGTATAATTATGTTTTCACGTGTATAATTATGTTCACGTGAATAATTATGTTTACCGTACATAATTATGTTTCACCCGTGTATAATTATGTTTCACCCGTGTATAATTATGTTTCACCCGTACATAATTATGTTTCACCCGTGTATAATTATGTTTCACCCGTGTATAATTATGTTTCACCCGTGCATAATTATGTTTCCCCCGTGTATAATTATGTTTCACCAGTGTATAATTATGTTTCAACCGTGTATAATTATGTTTCACCCGTGAATAATTATGTTTCACCCGTGTATAATTATGTTTCACCCGTGTATTATTATGTTTTCGCCCGTGAATTATAATTATATTCAACGTGGTATAATTTATGTTTCACCGTGTTTAATTATGTTTTCACCGTGTATAATTATTTTTCACGTGTATATTATGTTTCACGTGAATAATTATGTTTACCCGTGTATAATTTATGTTACACCGTGTATAATTATGTTTCACCGTGTATAATTATGTTTCAACCGTGAATAATTATGTTTCAACCGTGAATAATTATGTTTCAACCGTGTATAGTTATGTTTCACCCGTGTATAATTATGTTCACGTGTTATAATTATGTTTCAACGTGAATAATTATGTTTCAACCGTGAATAATTATGTTTCAACCGTGTATAATTATGTTTCAACCGTGTATAATTATGTTTCAACCGTGTATAATTATGTGTCACCCGTGTATAATTAAGTTCACGTGTATAATTAGGTTTCAATCGTGAATAATTATGTTTTCAACCGAGTATAATTATGTTTAACGTGTATAAATTATGTTTAACACGTGTATAATTATGTTTAACGTGAATAAGTATGTTTAACCGTGAATAATTATGTTTAACTGAATATTTATGTTTCACCCGTGTATTAATTATGTTTCATGTGTATAATTATGTTGCAACAGTGAATAAATTATGTTTCACCAGCTGAATAATTATGTTGCAACGGTGTTTAATTATGGTTTCGCCCGTGAATAATTATATTTACCCGTAGTATAATTAGTTTCAACCGTGAATAAATTATGTTTCACGTGTATAATTATTTTCAACCGTGTATAATTATGTTTCACCGTGAATAATTTGTTTCACGTGTATAATTATGTTTCACAGTGACATTTTGTTCACCGTGTATAATTATGTTTCAACGTGATTATTATGTTTCCAACGGAATAATTATGTTTAACCGTGAATATTATTGTTTCACCGGGTATAATTATTTTTAACAGTGATAATTATGTTTCACGTGAATAATTATGTTTACGTGTATAATTAAGTTGCACCGTGATATTATGTTTACCGTGTATAATTAGTTTTCAACCGTGTTTATTATGTTTTCACTCGTGTATAATTATGTTTCACCGTGAATAATTATGTTTCAACCGTGAATAATTATGTTTCACCCGTGTATAATTATGTTTCAACCGTGAATAATTATGTTTCAACCGTGAATAATTATGTTTCATCGTGTATAATTATGTTTCAAACGTGTATAATATGTTTCAAACCGTGGTATTAATTATGTTTCACCGTGTAAATGATGTTTTAAACCGTGAATCATTTGTTTCAACCGTGAATATTTATGTTTCAACCGTGTTAAGTATGTTACAAGTGTATAATTATGTTTTAACGTGTATAATTATGTTTACCGTGTATAAATTATGTTTCGAACCGTGAATAATTATGTTTCAACCGTGAATAATTATGTTTCAACCGTGAATAATTATGTTTCACCCGTGTATAATTATGTTTCACCTGTGTATAATTATGTTTCAACCGTGAATAATTATGTTTCACCCGTGAATAATTATGTTTCAACGGTGTATAATTATGTTTCGCCCGTGAATAATTATATTTCACCCGTGTATAATTATGTTTCAACCGTGAATAATTATGTTTCACCCGTGTATAATTATTTTTCAACCGTGTATAATTATGTTTCACCCGTGAATAATTATGTTTCACCCGTGTATAATTATGTTTCACCCGTGAATAATTATGTTTCACCCGTGTATAATTATGTTTCAACCGTGATTAATTATGTGTAAGTGATTCAATTATGTTTTCAACCGTGAATAATTATGTTTCACCCGTGTATAATTATTTTTCAACCGTGTATAATTATGTTTCACCCGTGAATAATTATGTTTCACCCGTGTATAATTATGTTTCACCCGTGAATAATTATGTTTCACCCGTGTATAATGTATTTTTCAACGTGTATAAGTATGTTTCATCGTGTATAATTATGTTTCTCCGTGAATAATTATGTTTCACCGTGAGTATAATTATGTTACCGTGTATAATTTATGTTTCAACCGTGAATAATTATGTTTCAACCGTGAATAATTATGTTTCAACCGTGTATAATTATGTTTCAACCGTGTATAATTATGTTTCAACCGTGTATAATTATGTTTCACCCGTGTATAATTATGTTTCAACCGTGAATAATTATGTTTCAACCGTGAATAATTATGTTTCAACCGTGTATAATTATGTTTCACGTGTATAATTATGTTTCACCCGTGTATAATTATGTTTCAACCGTGAATAATTATGTTTCAACCGTGTATAATTATGTTTCAACCGTGAATAATTATGTTTCAACCGTGTATAATTATGTTTCACCCGTGTATAATTATGTTTCACCCGTGTATAATTATGTTTCAACCGTGAATAATTATGTTTCAACCGTGAATAATTATGTTTCAACCGTGTATAATTATGTTTCAACCGTGAATAATTATGTTTCAACCGTGTATAATTATGTTTCAACCGTGAATAATTATGTTTCAACCGTGTTATAATTGTTTCAACGTGTGTTTTTATCTATAATTATGTTTCAACGTGTTATTATGTTCACCTGTGTATTATTATGTTTCAACGTGAATAATTATGTTTCACCGTGTATAATTATGTTTTCTACCGAGTTTAATTATGTTTTCAACGTGATAATTATCTTTCAACGTGTATAATGTATGTTTCACCGTGTATATTATGTTTCGCCCGTGAATAATTATGTTTCACCCGTGTATAATTATTTTTCAACCGTGTATAATTATGTTTCACCCGTGAATAATTATGTTTCACCCGTGTATAATTATGTTTCACCCGTGAATAATTATGTTTCACCCGTGTATAATTATGTTTCACCCGTGTATAATTATGTTTCAACCGTGTATAATTATGTTTCACAGTGTATAATATGTTTACCGAGTATAAGTATGTTTTTCAACGTGAATTAATTATGTTTCAAGGGTTTAAGTATGTTTCTCCTGTATATTATGGTTTCGCCGTTGAATATTTTTGTTTCACCGTGTTTATTTATGTTTACCCAGTGTATAATTATGTGTTTCACCGTGAATAATTATGTTTCGCCGTGAATTATTTTGTTTCACCCGTGTTTAATTATGTTTCACCGTGAATAATTTTGGTTTCACGTGTATAAATTTTGTTTCACCGTGTATAATTATGTTTCACCCGTGAATAATTATGTTTCACCCGTGTATAATTATGTTTCACCCGTGAATAATTATGTTTCACCCGTGTATAATTTTGTTTCACCCGTGTAGAATTATGCTCACTTCTATTTTAATTTTTACCTGTGTCTCAGTTACGATGCTCGTAACGGAGACTTCTGGCGTGTTGGCGTCTGGAAGATCCGTGACTCTCGCTACGACGGTCGCGTCTCCTTGAACGTAACGCAACCTGAGCGAGTCCACCTGAACCTACAGAGTGTGACCCTGGAGGACCTGGGTGACTTTACTTGTCGGGTGGACTTCCTTAGTTCACCCTCACTCACCTCTGTTGTCAAACTTAAGGTCTATGGTAAGTAGGTGTGTCTGTAAGATTTATGTTCTCTCTCTGTCTCTCTGTCTCTGTCTCTGTCTCTGTCTGTCTCTCTCTCTGTCTCTTTTCTCTCTCTGTCTTTTGTCTCTGCCCTTCTCTCCTCTCTTCTCTCTCTCTCTCTCTCTCTCTCTCTCTCTCTCTCTCTCTCTCCTCTCTCTCTCTCTCTCTCTCTCTTCTCTCTCTTTCTCTCTCTCTCCCCTCTGTCTGTCTGTCTCTCTTCTCTCTCTCTCTCTCTCTCTTCTCTCTCTCCCCTCTTCCTCTCCTCTCTCTCTCTCTGTCTCTGTCTCTTTCTGTCTCTCTTTTTTTTTTTTACACAGGGTTTGACAAGGTTAAGGATCCCTAGCTTTATTGACAGCTATATTACAGGTTAAGGATTCCTAACTTTATTGACAAGCTAAGAGCTGTTACCTACATCAGCTCATTTGAAAGTATTTTTATTGTTGTGAGACATACAAGTAGGGAACAGGATGAAGTTGGAGCCATCTGTGGGCCAGCATTTTCATTTGATAACTGACTTTATCTCGTTGACATCATTATGCTGTACGAATGTGTTCCATACTCGAGTCATCCTGGGTATGTATGAGTGAAGTTGCTGCTTTCTGCCCGTCTTGTGGCATAAAAGCTTGTTTCACGCTGTCCTCGAAGTGGATCCAAGTGTGGTATTTTGACAATATTGGCCTTGTACATAACAGTAAGGCCACCCACATCCCTCCTATGTTGAAGGGTCTGCTGAAATGACAGATCTATCCAGGTGGGTCCAGGGAGAGTGAGCGTCTTGCTCTGGGTTTTCTACTCGTCAAGCAGTCGCAGATGAGAGGGGGGGGGGGAGGCAAACCCAAAAAAAAGTGGGGGCATACTCAAGGTGTGAGCGTACTTGTGCCCCGTACAGGATCTTGCAAACCCTACTGTCAAGCAGATGGGAGATAGGCGAAGTGCTGTAAGCTTCCTGGTGCCTTGTTTGCAGATTTACAACATGGTTCTTCATGGTTAGTTTGGGAGTCAAATTTACCCAAGGATATCAACTTTCTTCTCCAGGTGCCAAATCTCCCATTCATCCTTACTACTGCACCAGCATTACCCTCCCTGGTGCCTAGAGACGATCATCATTTGCGTTTTCTAGGTGCAAATGTTACTTGCCATCTATTTCCCCAAGCAGATATAGCTCTCAGCTGGTGATTGATGTAGCTTAGAGCAGCTGGCATTTTTCTCTTGGATAAGTGAATGCCAGTGTGCAGTCGTCTGCATATGCATGTGATTCTGGGATGGATGAAAGTCATTGAAGTAGACATTCCATAAAAAATGGACCAGCACGCTTCCTTGTGGAACACTTGCCCAATAGGATGTCTTTCTGATTCCCTTCCATTGAGAACTACACTTAGAGATCTACCATGAAGGTAATCATGAGGGACATAGCGTAGAGCCTGCAATTCCCAGTGCTTGAAGTTTTGCTAAGAGGCCCTGGTGCCACTCTCTCTCTCTCTCTCTCTCTCTCTCTCTCTCTCTCTCTCTCTCTCTCTCTCTCTTCTCTCTCTCTCTCTCTCTCTCTCTCTCCTCTCTCTCTCTCTCTCTCTCTCTCTCTCTCTCTCTCTCTCTCTCTCTCTCTCTTCTCTCTCTCTCTCGCTCTCTCTCGCTCTCTCTCGCTTTCTCTCTCTCTCTCTCTCTCTCTCCTCTCTCTCTCTCTCTCTCTCTCCCCTCTCTCTCTCTTCTCTCTCTCTCTGTCTCTCTCTCTCTTCCCCTGCCTCAGTTGCTCTCTTGCAACATTGCATAGCTCCTAAAGACGCACTGAGAAGTGTGAAAGTACTCGAACTAAAGATTTCTATTTCTCTTCTCTCCTCTCGCCCCTCTCCTCTCTCTCTCTCTCTTTTATAATATATATATATATATAATATATATATATATAAATATATATATATATATATATATATATAATATTATTATTTTTTTTACTTGCCCAAATAATTATTTTTAATTATGAGAACGTTTGGTTGTTGGGCAGCCAGGCCGAGCAGAGGTCCCGTAGTGAAGGTGGATGGGAGTGCTGGAGAAGTGGAATCTTCAGTCAAGTTATGTTCTGACATGGGACCCTTCCATGAAGGAGAGTTACTTAACTTATCGTGCACCGTCACTGGCGGTAAGTACCAACTCTCTTACTTTCTTCCAGTACACTTGCCGTAAATATGAAATTAATATTGTAAACCTTCCTTGAACCCAGATGATAAAGCGTAATTATGAGCCACACACTGGTCATCATAGCCTGGATGATCCAGTTGTCACTGCCACACACTGGTCATCATAGCCTGGATGGTCCAGTTGTCACTGCCACACACTGGTCATCATAGTCTGGATGATCCAGTTGTCACTGCCACAAAACGGGTCACATAGCCTGGATGACCCCGTGGTCCTGTCACACACTGGTCACCATAGCCTGGATGATCCAGTGGTCACTGTCACACACTGGTCATCATAGCCTGGATGATCCAGTGGTCACTGTCACACTGATCATCATAGTCTGGATGATCCAGTGGTCACTGTCACACACTGGTCATCATAGCCTGGATGATCCAGTGGTCACTGTCGCACACTGGTCATCATAGTCTGGATGATCTAGTGTTCACTGCTACACACTGGCCATCATAGCCTGGATGATCCAGGGGTCACTGGCACACACTGGTCATCATAGCCTGGATGGTCAAGTTGTCACTGCCACACACTGGTCATCATAGCCTGGATGGTCCAGTTGTCACTGCCACACACTGGTCATCATAGCCTGGATGATCCAGTGGTCACTGCCACACACTGGTCATCATAGCCTGGATGATCCAGTTGTCACTGCCACACACTGGTCATCATAGCCTGGATGATCCAGTTGTCACTGCCACACACTGGTCATCATAGTCTGGATGATCCAGTGGTCACTGTCACACACTGGTCATTATAGCCTGGGTGATCCAGTGGTCACTGTCACACAATGGTCATCACAGCCTGGATGATCCAGTGGTCACTGTCACACACTGGTCATCACAGCCTGGATGATCTAGTGGTCACTGTCACACACTGGTCATCATAGTCTTGATGATCTAGTGGTCACTGTCACACACTGGTCATCATAGCCTGGATGATCCAGTTGTCACTGCCACACACTGGTCATCATAGCCTGGATGATCAGTGTCACTGCCACATCACTGTCATCATAGCCTGGATGATCCATTGTCACTTGCCACACACTGGTCATCATAGCCTGGATGATCCAGTTGTCACTATGCCACACACTGCACATCATAGCCTTGGATGATCCAGTTGTCACTAGCCACACACTGGTCATCATAGCCTGGATGATCCAGTTGTCACTGCCACACACTGCTCATCATAGCCTGGATGATCCAGTTGTCACTGCCACACACTGCTCATCATAGCCTGGATGATCCAGTTGTCACTGCCACACACTGGTCATCATAGCCTGGATGATCCAGTTGTCACTGCACACACTGCTCATCATAGCCTGGATGATCCAGTTGTCACTGCCACACACTGGTCATCATAGCCTGGATGATCCAGTTGTCACTGCCACACACTGCTCATCATAGCCTGGATGATCCAGTTGTCACTGCCACACACTGCTCATCATAGCCTGGATGATCCAGTTGTCACTGCCACACACTGGTCATCATAGCCTGGATGATCCAGTTTGTCACTGCCACACACTGCTCATCATAGCCTGGATGAATCCAGTTGTCACTGCCACACACTGGTCATCATAGCCTGGATGATCCAGTTGTCACTGCCACACACTGGTCATCATAGCCTGGATGATCCAGTTGTCACTGCCACACACTGCTCATCATAGCCTGGATGATCCAGTTGTCACTGCCACACACTGGTCATCATAGCCTGGATGATCCAGTTGTCACTGCCACACACTGCTCATCATAGCCTGGATGATCCAGTTGTCACTGCCACACACTGGTCATCATAGCCTGATGATCCATGTCACTGCCACACACTGGTCATCATAGCCTGGATGATCCAGTGTTGTCACTGCCACACACTGCTCATCATAGCCTGGATGATCCAGTTGTCACTGCCACACACTGGTCATCATAGCCTGGATGATCCAGTTGTCACTGCCACACACAGGTCATCATAGTCCTGATGATCCAGTTGTCACTGCCACACACTGCTCATCATAGCCTGGATGATCCAGTTGTCACTGCCACACACTGGTCATCATAGCCTGGATGATCCAGTTGTCACTGCCACACACTGCTCATCATAGCCTGGATGATCCAGTTGTCACTGCCACACACTGCTCATCAAGCCTGGATGATCCAGTTGTCACTGCCACACACTGGTCATCATAGCCTGGATGATCCAGTTGTCACTGCCACACACATGCTCATCATAGCCTGGATGATCCAGTTGTCACTGCCACACACTGCTCATCATAGCCTGGATGATCCAGTTGTCACATGCCACACACTGCTCATCATAGCCTGGATGATCCAGTTGTCACTGCCACACACTGGTCATCATAGCCTGGATGATCCAGTTGTCACTGCCACACACTGGTCATCATAGCCTGGATGATCCAGTTGTCACTGCCACACACTGCTCATCATAGCCTGGATGATCCAGTGGTTACTGCCACACACTGGTCATCATAGCCTGGATGATCCAGTTGTCACTGCCACACACTGCTCATCATAGCCTGGATGATCCAGTGGTTACTGCCACACACTGGTCATCATAGCCTGGATGATCCAGTTGTCACTGCCACACACTGGTCATCATAGCCTGGATGATCCAGTGGTTACTGCCACACACTGCTCATCATAGCCTGGATGATCCAGTGGTTACTGCCACACACTGGTCATCATAGCCTGGATGATCCAGTTGTCACTGCCACACACTGCTCATCATAGCCTGGATGATCCAGTGGTTACTGCCACACACAAGGGTCTTCAACATTACCTGGTTCACTCTCGTTCGTTTATTTATTAATAGACAATAATGACGTACACTAACCTAACCTATCATTACCTAAATTAACCTACCATTGCCTAAATTAACCTACCATTGCCTAAATTAACCTACCATTGCCTAAATTAACCTACAATTACCTAATTTAACCTACCATTACCTAAATTAACCTACCATTGCCTAAATTAACCTACCATTGCCTAAATTAACCTACATTTTGCCTACAATTAACCATACCATTGCCTAAATTAACCTACCATTGCCTAAATTAAACCTAACCATACCTTAATTTAACCTACCATTACCTAAATTAACCTACCATTACCTAAATTAACCTACCATTTCCTAAATTAACCTACAATTGCCTATATTAACCTACCATTGCCTAAATTAACCAACCATTACCTAAGTTAACCTACCATTGCCTAAATAACCTAACCATTGCCTAAATTAACCTACCATTGTCAAAATTAAACTACCATTGCCTAAAATAACCTACCATTGCCTAAATTAACCTACCATGCCTAAATTTACCTACCATTGCCTAAATTAACCTACCATGTGCCTAAATTAACACCTACCATTGCCTAAATTAACCTACCATACCTAAATAACCTACCATTGCCTAAATTAACCTACCATTGCCTAAACTACCTACCATTGCTAAATTAACCTACTATTGCCTAATTAACCTACCATTGCCTAAATTAACCTACCATTAGCCTAATTAACCTACCTTTACCTAAATTAACCTACCATTGCCTAAATTAACCTACCATTGCCTAAATTAACCACCATTGCCTAAATTAACCTACCATTTGCCTAAATTAACCTACCATTGCCTAAATTAACCTACCATTGCCTAAATTAACCTACCTTTGCCTAAATTAACCTACCATTACTAAACTAACCTACTATTGCCTAAATTAAACTACTATTAGCCTAAATTACCTACCATTGCCTAAAATTAACCTACCATTGCCTAAATTAACCTACCATTGCCTAAATTAACCTACCATTGCCTAAATTAACCTACCATTACCTAAATTAACCTACCATTGCCTAAATTAACGTACCATTTCCTAAATTAACCTACCATTTGCCTAAATTAACCTACCTCTACCAAATTAACCTACCATACCTAAATTAACCTACCATTACCTAAATTAACCACCATTACCTAAATTGACCTACCATTGCCTAAATTAACCTACCATTACCTAAAGTATCCTACCATTACCTATATTAACCTACCATTACCTAAATTAACATACCATTGCCTTAATTAACCTACCATTGCCTAAATTAACCTACCATTGCCTAAATTAACCTACCATTGCCTAAATTAACCTACCATTGCCTAAATTAACCACTACCATTGCCTAATTAACCTACCATTGCCTAAATTAACCTACCATTGCCTAAATGGACTTACCATTGCCTAAATTAACCTACCATTGCCTAAATTAACCTACCATTGCCTAAATTAACCTACCATTACCTAAATTAGCCTACCATTGTCTAAATTAACCTACCATTGCCTAAATTAACCTACCATTGCCTAAATTAACCTACCATTGCCTAAATTAACCTACCTTTGCCTAAATTAACCTACTATTGCCTAAATTAACCTACCATTGCCTAAATTTACCTACCATTGCCTAAATTAACCTACCATTCTCTAAATTAACCTACCATTGCCTAAATTAACCTACCATTGTCTAAATTAACCTACCATTGCCTAAGTTAACTTACCATTGCCTAAATTAACCTACCATTGCCTAAATTAACCAACCATTGCTTAAATTAACCTACCATTGCCTTAGTTAACCTATCATTGCCTAAATTAACCTACCATTGCCTAAATTAACCTACCATTGCCTAAATTAACCTACATTGTCTAAATTAACCTACCATTGCCTAAATTTACCTACCATTGCCTAAATTAACCTACCATTGCCTAAATTAACCTACCATTGCCTAAATTAACCTACCATTGCCTAAATTAACCTACCATTGCCTAAATTAACCTACCATTGTCTAAATTAACCTACCATTGCCTAAATTAACCTACACATTGTCTAAATTAACCTACCATTGCCTAAATTACCTACCATTGCCTAAATTAACCTACCATTGCCTAAATTAACCTAC